CAGACTCAAGGATTCATGTCTTCTGTTCACCAGGTGTTTTAAGCTTCGGCTTTCAAGAGTTGGTCATCAGAGATGATTTGGAAAAAAAGCATTAATACTTGGGTGCAAACAGTTAGGCTGCCCAAGCACACGTAACACTTGGCTACTGTGTTTTAGCTGGCCTATCCCCAAACTGCACATAGGCTGGACTGCATGTTAACCTATCCTTAAAGGTACTGATCCTTTGCCTTGTGTCATGTGGCTGGTACTCCTTCCCCAATAAAAGGAATCACTCCAGCAGATACCACAAATGTCTTTATTCTAAATAGTTCTACATGTAAAATTGAAGCAGGATAGAAAGTTGATCTCTCGTTATAATGAACTTAAACCCACACTTTGTTTTTGAACCCTACATTACCTCACCCCTGAATGCAAGGTGCTATGACCCCTCCCTTGCCATCATTCAGTCATTCTGGATTCCTAAATTTTTTAAACTAACACTAAAAAAAACCAAACCAAACCAAACAAAACAACAAACATCAAAAACATTGGATTCACTGGATCAACCTCCTACTACATATTTTTTAACATTCTAATATCAAATTCAAATTAATTTATCATAGTTTGAAAAACATCTCTAAATTTATGCCAAGTCCCATTTCTCCAGCCAATTATAAAAAGAGTCCCAAGTTCGATAAAAATCAGTATCCTCTTTCTCCTTCAACGATAAAGTCAGTCTATCCATTTCTACACAGTCCAAGATCTTTCTTACAATCAATCCATCGGTGGGCAGCTCCTCACTTTTCCAATATTGAGCAAATGCAATTCTCGCCGCTGTAATTAGCTGCAACGTCAAATAGATTTCCTGTCTGTTAACATCTTCCGGTATAATGCCTCACAAGAAAACTTCGGGTTTAAAAGCAAAGGGTTTTTTTAATATTTCCTCCATCAATCTATGCATTTTAATCCAGTACTTTTTTGCGTTATCACAAGTCCACCACATATGATAAAAAGTACCCACTTTATGTTTACATTTCCAACATCTATTTGACATATTTGGAAACATCTTAGCTAGTTGACTTGGTGAGAAATACCAAATATAGAACATTTTACATAAGTTTTCTTTATTATTATTATTATGTTACTTTAATGTTTCTTTCCCATAGTTTTTGCCACTTTTCTAGTTCAACATTAAATCCAAAGATTTGTGCCCATGTTATCATAGTTTCCTTAACC